TTACTTGCTCAGCCGACCAGTCGACAACTGAGACGCAAAGCGACCGCCATTTTGAGGACAGAGGCCTTCTTGCCCTGACCAGCTCATCCACTCTTTCCACTTTAGCAGAGTGTCCTGCTTTTCTTAACCTGTAAAAGGTATATAGAAAACAGTCTGCATGCGGGAGTGCGAAGGTGTGCGATAAGAAAAGGCTGTTCTAAAGGTTGTTGAGATACGTGTAAGTAATCTCATATACTGGTGTTGACTTTCGTTGACGGCAGCTCGCCCGTCAACTATAGCCTACAGCGAGGAAAGATGCTGTCTATATTTTTAAGCGTAATTGTGCAGCAAGCACGTTTCATATGTAAATAATAAAACAGAAAAAGTTTGTTATCTTTTTTAACGAAGCGGGTTTATTGTTATATTTTTCATTAAAAGTATGAAGGTCAGTCCTAACCTGCCCAATGCATCGTTACATATCGTGCGCTGATCCTTCGCTCAATTGGAGAAAAAAAAAAGTAGACAAAAACTAAAGTTGTTTACACGTATATTAATATAGTTTTCTTGAGTTCGACCGATCAGCTTCTGTCCATGATGCTTCGTAGCCTCGTTTGCATTTATTTACGTGTGAATCCGGTTCGATCCGGTTCTACAAGCGCGGGCTGTCGGACGCCAATGGCCGGGCGGTCGTCAGACCGCTGACAAAGATGTCTGCGCTCTTCCAACGCTCTTCGCGCCGTGACGAATGAGAGTTGCCGGCGTCCCGCTTTTCGCCTCCGTTTCGACATTGGACGAATTGTGATGGACGCGGAACACGCACGACGATAAAGAGAACGCAGGACGGTTTGAAAGTTGCTTCGGGATAAGATAGATGGCTTTTCTTTTTCGCTGATGGTGTGAGATCTGTTTATCGCGTATTGTTGACATCATCGATCCTATACTCATGAAGGGGTTCAAAACCCAGACCGTGGTTCTTGTAAAACCTAACTTGTGCGATATAAACGCTGCATGACTGCCGTGTGCCCGTTGATGATTTCCGTGCGATCTAAATTATTTATAAGCTTATTTAGTTCGTGGAGTGTTAACTGTTCTTGAGATGCATGGATGTTGTCTCGTGTTTACTTGAAACTACACGTTCCCGAATCTGCCAGTGAAGAAAAAGGGCAAAGTCACGACAGTCAAAGTCACTGTGCCTGAACTTTAAAAAAAAAAAAAAAATATATATATATATATATATATATATATATATATATATATATATATATAATGGGAATGAGTGAAGATGCAGCCGTAGTAAAACTGTGAATGAAGAGGGGAGAAGGTGATTATTGAATTTATTGCATTAAAGTTAGGGAAAGGAAATAAATTCAATAATCACCTTCTCCCCTCTTCGTTCACTATATATATATATATATATATTTCTACCGCATTTATCAAAATTTCAGCTGGAACATATTTCTTTCTCTCATTTTTGTTACGGAGACAAGTAGGAGATGCTGCGTAGTAATATGGGGCTATTATTGCTACATTCAACTAAATAGTACAATTTGTTTAGAAAAAGAAAAGAAATCCACACGGTTCCCGACAATCTAACACATCCTTGTTCCTGGTTACATTCGATCGCCTTCACCTGCCTGCAGATATGCATTTTTCTATACTCCTCTTACGAACACTCGAGCCGTCGATAAAGGGCCTCACTGGCACCTTATCCTGGTATCCCTGGTATCGCTGGCGGCCTCATGATAATAACTGGACCAATTCGAAAGATACCATTGCCCACACGCAGACGCAGGCGCATCGAGTCATCCAGTCAAAGTTGTATCTGTGCATACGAGTTCCGTCTCGATTAGATTGACCTCAATACCGACGTCAATCGCTTTCGCAGCGAAAACTTTCCGGGTTTTCGGCGGCGAGCATGCCTCTGCAAACGCTCTCGTTTGAGCCGGCTCGGCTGAGTCACCGGATCTTCCTAGTCTTACTGAGGTAGCGTGCGACCGACACGCAACGGCATGTCTGTATCCGCAAGTGTACAAAGTGTCCCCACACACAAAAAAAAAAAAAAAAAAAAAAAAAAAAAAACACAAATTTGTGTGTGTTTTTTTTTGTTTTTTTTTGCCGCATATATTTAGACTACGCATCGCCGAGCGCTCATTCTAAGCCCATATGTCAAAGTTTCAGCACTAAACGTTATTTTGTTCAAAAGTTACGTGATACGTGATTTCTTTTTTTAATTTTAAATGGGGAAAATGATTGGCCGACAGAGCTCTCAAATATATTGAGCTCTGTGGCACCAGTTACCGAAAACGGGCGCAAATCGGTTCCACTTTCCCAGTGAAATTTTCCAAAAATCATAAATTTTGAGTAAGAAAACGGGTAGTGCTGAAACTTTGGCTTGGGATTCGGACCACCAGTGCTCAATTTGGGCGGAGAATGATCGTTCGGCAATACGTAATTTATTTGTGCGGCAAAAAAAAAAAAAACAAAAAAAAAACAATTTTTTTAGGACACCTTGTACATCAACGATATTGTGAAAATAATCAAACAAGATGGCCTCCTCCCAATAACGTTCTCTTCCTTCCTTCGTCTCTAGCGCCACGCTCGTGTTCCTCCCAAAAGCGCACGCGGCAGTCTTGCCAGAACCAACTTCCCTAACCTTCACGCCGTTTCTCCGTGCAGTGGACCGCAGGGGAAGCTACGCGCGATCGAAGCCAATCCAATGCCGCGTTCTTGTCAAGGAACCTTGTTCGCGAAGGTCGGGTTGGAATGTTCTCAGCGCTGATTGGCTCAGAGGACTCGTAGCGTCCGCTGCGGTCCATCGCAAGGTGAAACGGAGAAACAAAAAGGAACCGCTAAAGAGGAAAGTCGCTGCCGTGTACCTGGGAAGCAAAGCGCGGTGTTTGTTACGCTTAACCGGCCCTGCGATGCTAAGTGCCGGCCGTTAGTCGCTTTACAAGGCGTTGGGAACGAAGCGAGCTACCGAGCTTGAAACGTGCTCAATGGACGCGTGAAGTGCGCTCTCATTCTCGAAGTCTCTTCGGGCACGAACTCGCCGACATGCTCGGCTAAGTCGAACAAATCGTAACCAAAAAACAATGACCCTCCCCCTTCCCTTCTCCCCCCCCCCCCCCCCCCCCCCAAAAAAAAAAAAAGAAAAAGACAAGAAAAAAAGACAAGAGAAAAAGTTAATATCTTTTACCGGTGGTAGAAGATATGAACGCATTTCTATTATGAATACAATTAATTTTATTATTTGCCCTTTTTTGTTTTGTTTGAACGTCTCAAGGGCAATGCTTTGTGTAAATAGAATGTTGACCGAAATATCGCTTTCATGGAAAACCATTGAATCATGTTTTCATTATCAGCACCCCTCGCATTTTTTTTTTGTTTTATGTTATCACATCCTATGTTGCACGCTTCGTTACTTCATCCGGCAAACTATATTGAACCCAAGGAAGGCATATGTATACCTCTCGATTGGAGCGGCTGTTGCCCAATATTACTTCGTTTAAATGCAACATACTCAGTTTATGCCCGATTCTCAATGCCTCGGATGCAGTGACACGCGTCCTTTTTATAATTAACTGGATATTTTGGCGGGCAAGCACTGAACATTTTCGTATTTACAGCCATGTATTGACTGCGTTAGCCTAGCATTGTGGCCTGTTGATGACAAGAAGTACAGTTCCCGCTCCACTCTCCACTTGTTGGTTTTCTTAAGCCCCTCTTTTTGTAGTGCTTTTTTCCATGGAGAGGATCTTGCCCTCTTAAGTGGCTGGTTCCCGAAATATACGGCAGACGGAAATTCAAGACGTGTCGGCAGCACACGTAAATGCCGGTGGATGATGCATGCAAAAGTTGAGATAAAGAAGGGTGTTCGTGTTATCCACCGCGGTGAATCTCATTCACGATGTTTATGTCTCTTTTTGGGGGAGTCTGACGCGTTTCTGCTTTTTCCGGTGCGTCGCGAGAACGCGGAATCATCACTCGTAATAAAATAAGCGTTGGCCTGACTGCACCTCCCCAGACTGGTTTACATAAACCTTCGATGACCCGATACAACACAACTAAAGTTACTAGCATCGGTTCATGTGCATTCACATTACATCATTGATCGTCTACAACTGTAATATGGGTTGTTGTGTTTTATTGGAACTCCAACCCCGTGCATCCAATCCTCCTTTTTCTGTTTTCTTTTTCTTTTTTTTTTAATTTTTATTCTTGGCTAGGCCAATTTTTTCTGCCCACTTATATCCGTTTTTGCCCCAAGAACCGTAGTAAAAAGGTCCGGCTCCAGGCGGAGCATCACCAATTTCCCACTTTATGTTGATACTTAAGATATATGTAGGTGAAGTTTAGATAAGATATATGTTATCTTATCAAAGCGAACACGTTCCAAACACCAAAAGCATCACTTTTTCCTCGGACAACCAAATCTCGTAAAACTACTTCGCGCCGCGTATGTACAATGCGTAAAACTTGCTTTTTCTTGAGGATAAAACGGTATATATTGATGGTAGCTCCCCGCTTCTCTCGTTCACGTCTTTTCCGCTGGGTGGTGTCGCCTCTTTTGAAGTTGCACATAGGCCGTGCACCGCAGCGTTATCCACCGGAATCCGCTCCAATAAAGGTTAGTTCGTCAGGTAGCGCCATCTCGCACAAAATTATCGCAACCCTGAGACGGTCCGCGGCCGCGATCACTGGACCCTACCTCGATCTCGAACTTCCGAGCGCCCCGCCGAACCGTGACGCAGCGCATGTGTCCAATCGTTCGGTGTCACGTCCCGCCCAAAATTGTCCTTATTGACCACCAGCCGCGCTGCAGACGCAGCCGACTGGGGCGCCTCCTGTACACTGCCCTCTCGACTCTGACGTCACGGCACTGCGGTGGCGCTGTTGTCGGTCCGGCGCATGCGCAGTGTCTTCATCTCACGCAAATAGATTTACTGAGCATGCGTGTGTGCCCACATCTGTTGCGGGTAAACGCGGGCTTGTTCGTAAGCCGCGTGTTGGTGTGTACTCGCCTTCCTCGCGTGCTCCCGCCCTTCCAACGGCTGCTCGACGTGGCAGGTGGTCAGGTTGCCTTCGTCGGCGGTGGCGCCACCGATGGCCGCAATGGCGGTGCTGTTCACCATGGCCACCAGGGCGACGCTGAGCGAGAACCGCAGCGCGTACGCCAGCAGCAGGCCGCTGAACAGGAACAGCGTGAGCACGAAGCGGCACGGGCCTGCAGGGAAAAGGGGGAACGGACTGCTCGATCCAAATGCACCATCTTACTCCACGAAAATCCAAATGACATTGGCGCCGACAGCGTATGCGTAGTTGGAGCGGCTGGACGCGCGCAGGCTCGGGGTTTTCCCCTTTGAATTGGGATCGGTGGCAGCCCCCATCATATCGCCCTGGAAACTCGCCGAGACAGCCATCTGTGCTGTCTTGGCGAATCCGGTGTCTCGGCGGCAGCCCTCCCTCGGCGCAGCACGATGTGCGTGCGTCCTCTCGGAGACGGGATCTCCAAACAACTCGGGAAGGATTTGGCGCTGGCGTGTTGTCTTAAGCCTGGTTCAGACAGTTGCGTTTGACTGCGTTTGACTGCGTTGCGGCAGCGAGAAACCAGGACATCTCTACTACTTATATCGCGTGCTAAGAATTGGATTGCACGCTTCACACGAAGCACAGATGTGCCGGTGACTCGCTTTCGGTTTTCGACGCAACGCAGTCAAACGGAGATTGTCACCGCCACGGTAACGCTTTCGACAAATGCATGCACACTCTGCCTTGATGCAAGAAAATAAATCTTTTTCGCGTAACCTTCCTACCTGTTCAAAAAAACGCAAATAGCGCTCCGACGAATGTAAACCAAAGTTACTTGCATGAAGGAGGATGTTTCGCAGCTAGCGCCACCGCGAGGACATTTTGAGCTGGCAATATTTCCTCACGTTTTCACGCATTGGCTGTTTATCTCTGTCCAAACACAAGGGGTACATATTTCCTCTCTGTTGACGAAAAAGAAAAGTCCAAACCTTTCTTTACACTGACAGCCTTTTGTTTCGTTTGTTGTTTTTGTTCTTCTTAAGTTGACTTACGTGTTGGCATCCAGACCGCCGTCAAACGGACCGTGGGATATCGTGATCAGATTTGAAAGGTAACCACGGCAATCAAACCGTCAAGTCACGGAGCGTTCGCGTTGTATGCGCGCTTGACAACCGTGTCGCCCCTTCCGCGGCTGTCTGAGGCGAACCCGTTCGAAGGCGGTGCAAAGAATATCTAAAGCCGAGACCAGAGACCGTGTAAATAGACCTGTTTCTGTGTACTTTTCCCTTCACGCGCATTTAGACCTGCAGTGGATTTTGTACGACGGATCGTATATGGACTGACGCCCCCGCACGTTGATTTCGCTCGAAAATAAAGTTTTTTTTTTTTTTTTTAATAATAATAATAAAAACTATTATTATTGTTGTTGTGGTTGTTGTTGTTACCTGCTGTCTTCAAAGCTGGGGTCCCATTGCTTATACTTCATACAAAAGACAGTCTGATAGCACGAGCCACCGCAATGTCCGCGGTTCGAACGCCGCGTGCCAAGTGTTCTCCTTGAACTCACTGCCACGCGGCGTTTGAAGCACGGATCTCGCGATGACTCGCGTTCGAATCTCTATGCAGACTGTCTTTTGTATGATGTATAAGCAGTGCGATCCCGGCTTAAAGGCGCAGTCACGGTGCCCACGCATTCCACAAAAGACACGTACCTCTGAGGCATATTTGCTTCATACATGCTTCTAAGACATGTCCGCGGACAGTATTACCAACGGGACAGGACCGACATACAAGGAAGACCTCAAAGAGTGTCTGTGGAATGTCTTTTACGTCACGTACAATGTTACATACTGTGCTTACATATGGTATGATAAATGAATCAATACCGTCACATCTAAGTTTTTTTGTGTTTTTTTTTACGTTGAACATTTTTAAAAAATCACATCCTCTGCATATAACTTTTTATTTCATTGCCCACAAGTTTAGAAGATAAAGTTTAGAGCCTGGGGTGGCGTTCGTTCATAGTACGTACCTCACTCAAATTTCCAACGCTCTCATTTGGCCATCACTAGCTTTAACTTTTGTAACAATCAAAGCCTAAAAAAAAAAAAAAAATCTCTCTGAAGTTTTTTAAACAGTGGTCACGACTTAAAACAAGGCTTTCATGACAGCAATCGCACACATGAAAAGAAAAAAACAAACAAACACATATTTGTAAAGCTCTTCGATCTCTCAAAAACTATCGTGACAGCGGTCGCAGCTTCAAAAAGCGACACTAAAATGTGTGTGTCGTCTCCTCGTTGTTCCTCGGTCTTGGGTTTTCGGGATCCCAAAAGTTCACCAGCTCTCCTGCATGTTCTCCGTCATTTCCCCCGAAATGACCTTTTTTGGGAACCGCATTTCCGTTTTGACTTTGCACCGAGTCCCACTCTAGCTTACTGGGTGCCACTCTCTCTCGCCATTTGTAATCCATCGGGATCTCTCGAACGTTTTCTTCGTCCTCGTTTCGAGAGACCTATCCAAAAATAAAACGCTTCCGCGCACTTGTAGAACTGCAGCGTCGGGGAAGTTGAGCATCGGATCTGCATGCATTGCATATACCCCGTTTTTGCCCGAGGGTCTCCGCTGGCCCTTCCTCGCACAGGTTCCCGGCTTTCTCCACGGGCAGAAGCCGATTAAGCGAGCCACGACATCTTTGATCTACGGTCTGCGGGTAACGCACTGCGGCTGACACGGAAACGGAGAGCGTGCACCGGTGAAACCTCGCTGCGCTGTGCCGGATTTCCTGCATTCTCGTTGGCTGTTTTCGGCTAAGGTGCTCCCGTGCTTCCCGTTTCTGAACGAGATCACCTACACACTGCCGGACCTTACGATTGGCTGTACTTTGTTTCACCAGATACGATGGAGCTAATCGAGCGACACCAAACGTGCGTCTTCACGGCGTTCGTCCAGCCAGGCATATTGAATGCTACGTGATCCTGCGCCTTGTTTTCTATACCGTGGTGACAGCGCTAAAGGAACCAGGCACGTAGCCAGGGGGGGGGGGGGGGGGGGGGGGGGGCATGGGGCCGGTCCCCCCCCCCCCTGAAATCTTACATTTTGCTGGGACCTCCTCTTTCCCCTCCCCCTCGTACAGCATTTTGTCATGGGCGCCTCCCCCCCCCGAAACAAAATCTTGGCTACGTGCCTGAAATTCATTGAAACTCCCTCACACGTAAACGAAAACTAAATTAAAAAAAAAAAGTAGATTTGCTGTTATATTACGTAAGAATTAGTAACCATTTTCAAGATTTAAAATAAAATACTGTATAAATTGTTTTTCCTCGTATTTTGAAATGTGTGTGTTGAAGTCGGGCAACACTGTTTACGGGTCGAACTTTAAAAAAAAAAAAAAAAGAATAATAAAGGGAGCAAAGTTTTGGATGGAGGGGCAAAGAAGTTGCTAGGCTAGGTGCTATCCGTTCGGTATAATAAAACACGCCGAAGACGCTTAGGTCCGCTTACGTATAGGAAAGCGAAAGCGTTCTTACACGACCGCGCATTCTTACAAGCGGCGCGCCAAGTCTTCTTTTGAACACGGCGCCCCGGCGGTGATATCAAGCTTCCCCAGTGCGCAGGCGCGGCGCCTCCTTCGGCCCCACGTCTTCTGTGACGAAGCACCTGCGTTGCTGTGCTTTTCTTTGTGTTTTATATCTGAGGCGCGTCCGCTTTTACCTTGAGCGTCCCGCCGGCTTCACGGCTTTCGAAACGAAGCATCAGCGTTGCTGTGCTTTTCTTTGTGATTTATTTCTGAGGCGCGTTCGTTTTTACCGTGAGCGCCGCGTGTCTGATGACGTATTTTTATGCCCATATTTCGGGCACAACGCCGACGCCGCCTTTTCGCGTAAACGGACATGTAAGTCTTTTGCCAGTAATAAACCTCAACTTGTGCGACGAGCACGTTTGTCAACAAACGCTTAAAGGTTCATCGGATCAACAAAAAGGTTCATGATTTAGATGTTTTTCCAAAGTGAGGCCAGGCCCCATTATATATAGCATGGCCGTGATGCGTAGGTGTTTTATGAATGTCTGTCTAAACAACTTCTGCAGTCCTTGGGAGCTATATACGGTGATTTAGAAAACGCCCAGCAGTTGCATCCCGAATAGCGATCATTTTTTAAACTAAACGAGGTTATAAGCGCCCCGACGAGATAACAGACGAAAGAAATTATTAAGGTAAGGAAGTTAACAATTTGTCTTCGCATTTCTAGATATCTGTCTGCAATGCCGATTTAGGATGTTTCCTCCGCAAATTTAAGTCCACGTCTTCTATATGTTACCCATGTCCGCCCAAACTAGAATATTCGCCTTCGGTTTGGAGTCCTCACCACCTTATTTTAGCAAACCAACTCGAGTTGGTCCATAACCGCGCCGTTTGTTTCATCTAATTACTTACGTTCCTCCAGCGTGTCTGCCCTGAAAGCCCACCTTGACATCCCCAATCTTTCTATTCGTCGTATCTTTTCCCGTCCTTGTCTACTGCACAAAATTTATTACCACCCATCCTTACATTACTCTCTGTTTCACCTGCCTACTTACGTCTGTCCGAGATTTGATCATCCCTTCAAAATAGCCCGGCCCTAATGCAACTCAATGACCTACCTTTATTCTACACTTCCGGACGCCATTGTGAGCTGGAACGACCTTCCGGAGAATATCGTAACCATCAGCGACGGCACCTTGTTTCGGAGCGTTATACTAACACCCACTGAGGGTATTTAAAATAAATGAAGTAAATAAAGTTTCTGACTGCCTCTCAGATGCTGAACGAAAGTGGATATACACCTTTGACACAGGTTCCCAGGTTCACCTGGATTGCCGATTGATTCTTCCGCATAATGATTCGTTGATTCTGCGATGTAAATAGCTATCGCGCGACGAGAAACGGATCGGTGCTCGCCACGCGCTTTATTTACACGGACAATAAATGGGGCGCTTTCCGATACAAAGTAAAAGCACATTAGACGTTCGTGTTTATATTGCGTAAGTTAGGTCTGCCTTTGAGCTGCAGAGGCGCTGTTTTACGCTGTAGATGATCAATTTAGCCGGTGCAGTGGCACCGTTAGCACGAGATCTTGAACGTGCATCACGCAGTAGTGATACACAGATCGAAACGGACAGGGTTTGGTGATTGAGCAGGATCCCTGGGTCGTTGAGCGCGGGCTTTCGCTCCAAATGCTCTGAGCTGTGGTCCGCGAACACATTCGACCATCCCCCGTGGATTCTGATACGCTTTTCTTTTTTTTAAAATTGTTTTTTGGGGTTGCTATTTGTCGACGGCAAACTGATAGTGATCGGTGTGCAGACGGGCCACACCCTACTGTTCTTTTTTTTTTCTTGGGCTAGCATGGATTTTTTGTCTGCACCCTCACGGAAAGGCTTCTCTTTGTACTGAGTCACGAACGAGGAAACTTTCGACCAACGTCCGCGCCCTGCGCCTCGCAGTGATTCAACCAGAACTAGATCTCGCCGGGTCAAAAGAAACTCGTTTGTGCCTACCGCACCCCTTGGAACAGTCTATCGGCCATTCGGATTTGAATTTATCATTTTGTGTGGTCGAGCCTTCGCCTTCGTGTTTGTCCGCAGAACCACAACGACATAACCAGAAACGTTTGTGTACGCCAGAGGCGGTCTTAATCCATTGGAGACAGCTATATACTGCTGGCCCTATTCTCAGCTACCGCAACGAGCGTTCTGAATGTTGTTATCAAACACCACACTGCAAGGAATATGGGCCGGCTTGCTAGAAACAGCGTCTTAGCCGAGACTGGGCGAAAGTAAGCACCGCAAAGGCTGGGGCGCGCGAGCGCCTTGGGACGCGGTTTGAGTCCCGCTTGGCTCGTGCGCTGGCTTTGGCAGTGCTTGCTTTCACCCAGTCTAAGCTGAGACGCTGTTTTGCTGTTTCGCTGTTTCACTGTTTCTAGCAAGCTGGTCCTGTATCGTCTGCTTTCCCGCAGAGCACTTGGGAAAACCAAGCGCTGTAACCTATACGGAGCGAGCTTGGCAAATGACGACGCTGAAAATATGTTGAGACCAAAAAGAGAAAAATATTAAAAAACAGTCATGCTCATTGTGGATTGCCTCTCGCTAATGGTTTAGCGGGAAAGTAGACGCTACATATTTCTTAGAGTGTAATGTAAGAAAATACCGGCGCACACCCACTGCAAAAACGATACTGCTTTTATTTTTTTTTTATCTGGCATAAATATCAGCGTGCGTTTATTCTTGATGCAGTCGGGTAATTTGGCCCATGGCAGACTTTACTAAGACGCGATAGGATATCGGTGATCGTAGCGCAGCTACAAGCTCTCGTCAGATCGTGATCGCCGGAGCAGCCCCCTGAATCGAGCAGCACGACCGAGCCGGTGCTTAGGATCACGCTCGCATCTCACGAAAGAGCGGAAGAGGTACCGCGGCTCTCGCTTCCTGCTCCACTTAGTAAGAGGCAGGAAGCGACAGGTAACTAACGATACACCGAACACTGACCCGAAAAACAAAAACACCTCGTATAACTACACAAGAAAGAAAAAAAATGAATAAAAAACCTTTCACCTGAAACGGAGCGCAACCAGGCGCTCTCTAGAGGACTGGCTTGCCGCTAAAAAAACATAACTAGATATAAGAAAAAGATCTAAGGCAGCGCATCTGAAAACTTTTAATGGAACCTGAGCACAATATACTGCTGAACTATGCGTGCCGTAATAGCTGCGCCGTTTGTTTACGCCAGCCGCATTCACGTCGCATGCTTCCGCTCTCAAATCGTCGGCGGGCAAGCGGGGGAACAGCGGGGTCAATGCGCTCACCGAAGTCGAATTTGGCTGACAACGAATCGGCGTCGACCCCTGCGTTATCTAGCCGATATTGGTATTCGCAAACAGGAAGCGGACGCCTATAGCTTCCGTCACGGTTTGCACGTTCGAATGCGGAGTCAGTCCAGCAGCTGCAGTCATCGTTACAAGGAAGGGCGCAATGAAGGCCAGGACTTTACGTAGACGGCTTTGGAGAATAAGAAATTCTTTGGACACATGCGATATGATACATGTTTGTGAGATTACAGTCCGCGTCGTTTTTCGCCTGTCTTTTGGTAAACACCCAATGCAATAATCTAGGCTATTAAAAAAAACGGCGATATGCACCTGGGAAAGCATTCATCAATTTAAGAACCGCGGTACACTTAACGTGGTCCGGTCCCCTGGCCGAGATTTTGAGTCAACCTAAAGCTAGAGACCTCTATAGTGGAATATGCACTATGGCTGCTATGTGCTCAGCTATAACGTCCTACTAATGCAGAGCTCCACCGCATCATATTTATTATTGTTTTGTTCGCGTCCTCTGGTGCTACCAAGCCCTCAACACTGAATGAAGGCTCGCAAAGACGCGCCGTCGTATTTTAAAATAATGGACGCAAATGAACTAAAGGGCCTTAGAAGATGTCACCAGAAATGCACTAGGCACAGGGCTTGAGCAGCCAACGAGTGCACGGTGACTAGGGACAACTTACAGCACGATGACCCGTTCCGGGGGATGATGGCCTGCTTCTCAGTAGAGTCCAACATGACTGTTGGTTTGTCGTCTCTGCCTGGTACAGTGTCTCGCGGATGGTGTGCCTCAGGATGGGATGGTGGTCCAGGCAAAGAGTATCTGCGACTCAAGTACCGGCTGTCCTTCCAACGTCGGCTGCCCTTCCAGTGCTGGCTGGCCTTCCAACGTGACTCGTCCCTGGTGCTCGGTCCTCAAGACTGCCGTGATCCCGGAATGATCGGGCGATTGGCCCTTGTGGCAGCACCTTGATCTCGCCGTGTCTCGTGCGTACTCGGCGGGCGCCTGTCCTGGCTCCCTCGGCTGCGGATGGCGGTTGTCGTCGCTGGCAGGTTCGTCTCCGAAGGCCGTCCACGGAGATGTACGTGTCGACCAGACCGTCCTGTCTAGTCGGAGGCGTTCCTTGTTGTTTCCGGACCGAAAAACAGTGACGCGGGGACGACGTTGGTGGAGAGCGGTCCATTGATTCGGGCACTCCACTTACGGAGATACGCCGCAGCCGATAACCTTGTCGCTTTGTCTCACGATACCAGCTGGTCGCACGACGTCTGCAGGCGACCTCGCCTATCACGGGACGGTAGTGGAGACCACTGTAAATGGACTTCGAGAACTCTCTTTTATTGTCGCCCGGATGTCCAGTCCCAAAGCCCAAATGTGCTCGATGTGTGTTTTCTGTATGGAGTTCTTTATTACGTGGCGAACAACATTGGCTCGATCGACATTGTGGTTTTCTATCGGCATCTTTGTATAAAATGTTGCTACCCAACTTATCCGCCTTTTTTCCTAAGTCCAAAGTTCTTCTAGATTTGCAACACGCGTACGGGAGACATCTTAGCTTTTCTTAAACAGTCGGGTCAAACTGCCTGTGTTACATATTTTTTCCGAATATTAAACTAAGCTTTTTGATGTGCTTCTCGTAACGTAGTCTTATGACTTGTTCTCTGCTCTTTTGTATTTCCCTTCTTCTTTCGCTGTATATGTAGGTTTTATTCATGACATTTTATAATCGTTTTGGCAACACTCACCCCATTTCGGATCCTGCATAAACCATATATTTTCAAGTGTGCCAATCCGCGTTTGTGATATCAAAACAGATTTCACGTTAGAAACTACTCTATTTACTTTATGAATGAGCGGGCACGTATTAAAGACACAAAATATGTTTTTTTTTTTTTTACCACAAGATCCTACTTGAAAGATACATCTTAATTTTACTTCGTTCTTTTGGTAGTTGACGATGACTAATAAATGGTCTGAATTTATCCAGCTGTATACCTTCTGACTCGGCTAGGGTAATCTATATTTAAAATGCGATTTATGATTGCCTATTTCTTTTCAGTTTTATAAAACTTATTATACGAAATGTATTGGTCTGTTTTTTTTTTTTTAATTCGTGACGTGTATTGTTTGTTTTATTATGTGTTCTTAATTTTTTTTTAAGAACGTAATTTTAAAGTGGTGCAATATTATTTAAAAGACGAATCCCGTTCTCACATTAGTACACAAAATTAGTAAGTGTTTATCTTCGAAGTGGACTCCTACCGCCGATGCAGAGATGCACGGAGTACAAAAAGGCAAGTTTACGTACAGCTTACGACCTGGTTTATATATTGAAGTTTTCATATTCATTCAAGTTTCTTCAGACACTCTAAGGAAGAACCGTAGATGGCTCCTCGTTTTGAGCCACAAGGACCCGGTAGTATTTTTAAAGTCGCGAGGAGTGTGGACAGCCCTACCCCTAGAATGACTCGATCGCATGCGGCGTGTTCAGACGGGAACTAAAATACTCGCTGTTTGCGTTTCTTCTCGTCTACTTTGGTAAGAAAGAAGACAACATAATAATTTAAGCCAGTCGTTTGGGTGCTGGGAGATATTTGGAGCGAAATAACACGGCGGAAAACCACCGTCGGATTAAAAAAAAAAAAAAAAAGAGAAAAAAAAAAAACACGTGGACACCGGATGGTTGTTCTTGACATCTTCCGGAACGAGCCAGCGCCAAAAAGTGCTCGTTGTCTTGGCGGGATGCTGTCACGCCTAAACCAATCACGCATAGAAAACAAACGTAGGATCCCGGCGAATTCAATGTGCGCTATCTGTAAACACTGACCGATATTTCTTTTATTAATATTTTTGATATTACTTTAATATTTTGTTGTTCTCGTTTATAATGAATACAGACGCTTTGCAGCAGCTGTGCATGGGCGCCGCCATAACCGACCTTCAGTTTTTGTTTTCTCTTATTCCGTTCGCTTCACTTCATCATTGCCACAGCAGGACAGGTGATTGCTTCTTTAGGGACTACTGTGTCCTTCTCCCCAGCATTGGCCTTTGTGGAGACTCGTCAACGCCCGCTTCAGTGGCTCGGTACCTTGGTAAAACATGAGAAGGTCGGCAATGGCGGCCCAATCTGGCGCGTGTTTAAAGCGCCTATAATTGTTCTTGATTACAAATAGAACAAAAAAGACAAAGCGAATCTGGGACACAGTGCTGTGTTCCCGGTCGCAAGGAGAGGCCACCGCAGTTCTCGTTTTTCCGTTTCTGTAACCTTGGGAGATTAACAAACGCGCCTCTATCGTTTCAGGTCAGCGAGTCAATGTTGCTATATTTCTGGGCCATGAAAGAAGCTAATCTCGGCGTGTGATAGGGCATGTGAGATTTGCATAATTTAGACTATTTTGAATGGGGAAGACGTAGTGTTTTTTTTTATAACGGGGTAAGCTATGATGCTGTAGACCGCTTGTAGATACTGCTCACAACTAAAATCTATTTCCGCGTCTTTTGACGGGGTTATATGTCGATCATATTTTCTTAAACTTTTAAACTTCGTGCTACGTATTAGGAATAAAACAGTTCAAACTCCGACGAACGCCAAATTTGGGGGAATTGTACCTTTAACAATTTAAACTCCAATAATTGCGGAATTTGTAACAAAAGACTCAAAGACAAAGTCCTGCCAATTTTATCAAAACAATAACTTCGAACAGCTGACTGTGCTATTCCTGAAGTTGTATACGGCCAAATTTCGGTTTTATCGAAGATAAAGCCAATTTCGGGTAGTACCTTGAGTAGATATTGCTTGAAGTACTACTTTTAGTAGGTTTACGATAACTTGTACTTTACTTGGAGTACATTCTCTTAATGTGTACTTGTATTTAATGCATTTTTGTTTTGTTACTTTTCGGAGGAAACTACAACTCCCAGCTTCAAACCAGCTTCCCCGAATTTGGTCTTGTGAAATGTGTACCACAAAAATATGTTTTGTGTAACCGAGGGAGTGAGCTTCCGCAGAAGTCGTTTCTTGTGTCGTTCTCAGAGGGCTAACTATATACTCAATATGTTGTGTAAAGTGCTGGGAAATGCACGGGGACGAACGCATTCATTCATCTTGGCAGTGCCCTCCTGCACTCGATCCTTTAAGAACCACGCGTTTGCATCCTTGGCTTTCTAAGTATTATACAGAACCTTTGAGATTGAGTATAAGCGTTCAACAGCCTCTAGCAAAAACAACAACAGCAACAACCAATGAGTGAAGTATCGAAAACACGCTATCTTCTTTCGAGACGTCTTCTGGTCATTTTTCTGAGTGAAGTAATGACGGCTGTAAGACCAATACAAATAAGTGCCTTGTAAGTTGACTGTGTTAAATTGTCTGTCAGCGAGTGTATACACGACTACTCCCTGGCCACTTAACTTTATTCAATATTCGCCGCTATTTCCGTAAATAACTATACATCCAGACTACCCCTAGAACAATGCATTCCAGTAAATAAAAAAGGAAAGACGCGTTTTATTTCGAATCTACATTGTATTGATAGCACTTTACTTCAAGTGCATTGCGCCCGGTGTACTTACTACTTTCCTTGAAGTGCATAACCTCTAATTTACTTTGTACTTTATTTCAGGTACTTTATATTTGCACTTTAGCCAACACTCATAAAAACAAATATAAGTTTGTCTTTATCTGCAACATTTGTGTCGGTTTAGGGTACTGTGATTACATTGGAACTATAGGAAAAGAGAAAATATGCACAAAACGTTACAGTCAAATAGTGAAAGGATCGTATTAGGAGTGGCTATTAAAGAAAAAAAAAACCGAAGTAGATATACCAATGTTCGACATACTTGTGCGTTGTTTCGCTGGTCATAATCGTGCTGCGGAACAAGAAAATGCCTGTAGCTCGTCGGTTTCATGTCCACTTCCTTATGGTCTCGGTAAATAATGACTTTCGCCGGCCTCTGGTTCTACTTCCGCTGTTGCCTCTCTGCGTCATGTATAGTGGTGTCCATTTGCTGCGCTAGGTGACCGAGAAACAGGCAAATTCTAAGGTTATAAGAGGAAAAACTGATTTTGTGTTTATATGTTGGAATGTGCGCATATTTCTATTCCCATTTGTATACATTGATTTCCGAGTTAGAATAGGAACGAGAAATAAGCGATTCACGGAGATCGCCAAACCATCTCCAAGCACCAGTATAGGCGATATATTATAGCAAACATCAGGGATGACTTCGTTGTTTTAATCAGGACCGCACCCTAAACACAGCAATTGCGATAGGGGTAAATGGCGCTTTCAGCGTTCAAACGTCTTCATCATTGATGTTTCCGGGTCGGTTCCAGATCGACCGGTTGTTGTTACTTTTTTACACAATTTTTTTTTTCATGTCTATTTACTGATCTTTATGACCTTTGTCTTTCTTGTCGCATCTCACCTCCAGTATACGCCGATGGGAAGTCTGCAATCGTGGAACAAAATTCGGTTTCGCTTTGTCGCCTCGGTCTTTGTGTCGAACTGGTGTCGGTTTATTATACTATGATAGCTCGCGGAGCGCTCCATGTTCGCGAGAAGATGGAACTGCGTGGAAGCTTTTTCAAGCTCGTTTGCAGTCGTTCGGGGTGCATCCGACCGTACACGCATTGTGTCATGTGGGGGGAATCGGTAGCCGAGTGGGCTAAAGCGCACGTCCAGCTCGACACGCGTGGAGCGAAAGCTCGCGCTGCAGAACCCAGGGATCCTGGGTTCGAGCCTTACCCCTGCCCGTTTCGGTCTGGATGGGCATTGCATCGGCGTGCGGCCGTGTATCACTACTGCGTGCTGCACGTTAAATACCCCAGGTTAGCAGTCGTACTGCACTGGCAAAATTGCTCATCTACAGTGTATACCAGTATCGCCCCATCCTGGCAGACCGACCTTACGCTGTATAAACACTAAAACGTCCAATTTGACTGATTTTTTGCGTCGCGTATAAGCAGTGGGACCCCTACTTAAGAATAGACTAGACTCATGTTGTCTAAACGTCTAACGTCTAATTTGTAGCACGTTTCTTCCCCTTGGACTCAAACCAGCTCACATTTGCCTCTTGATTTGGAATAATTGTTATTGTCTTGAACGTGTCATTAAAACAAAAAAGAAGTAGATCAGTATATATGTTCATACAGCTATGTATAAAAACAGCAAAATCAAAACTC